TACATATATACTAAGTTACTATAAACATAACTTTGAAGTATTATTTAAAAGGCCCATTAAGTCCCAGAAATATATATAAAACAAAAAACACAGTCCATGAGTTAACTTATTTAATTATTTGCCAACCGGTTTCTCTTATGATCATCAGGGCAAATGTGACGTCGTCGCATAGTAACGACGTTTTTATGTACACATGTGTACGCATATTCTAAAAATAGTAACGTCATAATATAGTATTAAGTTTTGGATTAAAAACATCAATAAAATAGCGTTCTTTACATAACCTAGCTGAAACGTTTTTACTGTGAAATTTATAAAATGGGAAAATACAAAATTTCGGGTCTTTTTTAGAGCATTTATCTAAATGTTCACTTATTGTCTTGTTGATGGGTCTCTTATCTGCTGAGCATGAACATATCATCAGATGAATTTTATGAACACTTCAAAAATTTATATTCTAATGAAGAACTTTTCAAGAACGACTTTGTTGAGGAAAGAATAAATAATATTGATATGGATTCTACCAATATTGAAGAGCTTGATGTTAAATTTACAAATTAGGACGTTGTTAGGGCAATTTCTTCTTTAAAAAGCGGTAAGAGTGCGGGGGTAGATTTACTTATACCCGAAATTTTTATACATTGTAAAAACATTTTAGCTCCTGTACTTTGTAAATTATTTAATCACATTTTTGATACAGGTGAATACCCGGAATCTTGATGCAAGGGAATCATAGTTCCTAGGCCCAAAAAAGGGGATAATAATGATGTGAACAATTATAGAGGCATCACTCTGACCAGTGTATTTTCAAAACTATTTTCAATTATGCTAGATTTTCGTTTACGTAAATGGGCTGAAAGGAATCATGTGTTGAACGATTTTCAATTTGGTTTTAGAAACAATAAGAGCACTACTGACTGTATATTTGTATTGAGTTCTATAATAGATAGGATAACAAAATATGAAAAGAAAAAAATGTATGCTGCATCTATAGATTTTAAAAAATGTTTTGACCTTTTGTATAGAAATGGGATTTGGTATAAATTGATTGAAATGGGAGTATCATTGAAAATTGTAAAAATGTTACGTAGTATGTATGCCTGTGTAAAGTCATGTGTAAGAGCAAATGGAAGATTGTCTGATTATTTCGATAGTTATTTGGGTTTAAAACAAGGAAAGCCACTCTCACCTCTCTTATTCATATTTTTCGTCAATGATATGCACAGCGACTTGCTGAATGATACTGTTGGCTCTTTCACGATAGACGACATACAAATATTTCTTTTATTATTAGCTGACGACACAGTGTTATTTTCTTATTCTAAAGAAGGACTACAACATCTTCTAAACAAATTGTATAATTATTGTAAAAATTGGGGAATTGTTGTTAATGTACATAAAACTGTTGCTATGACCTTCAACACCGGTAATCGAAATGATGATTTAGAGGTCTATTATAATAATGAACGTCTTAAAGTTGTTAAATCATTTACATATCTTGGTGTTACCTTGTCATCTAATGGGAATTGTTATCAAGCTCAAAAATCTTTATCCAACCAAGCATTAAAAGCATTGTTTTCGTTGAATTCTTTATTTGATTTTATTTCCTTGAATGTATCTGAAAGGTTAGACTTTTCGATACTATGATTTTACCAATTTTGACATATTTTGGATCAGATGTGTGGGGCTTTCATAACTCACCGGATATTGCTAAAGTTCACTTAAAATTCTTAAAACAAGTTTAAGGCGTTCGTCCGCAAACATCAACTTCGGCAGTACTTGGTGAATTTGTGGCAGATTTCCTTTGACAGTATATCGCAAAATTCGAAAAGTTAAATTTCAGTATAGAATTATGAAAGCCCCTGACACTCTACTTTTTAAAATAATGTTTATAAAAGATTCAAATGGTAATGTGACTATTTCATGGACAAAAAACGTTATGAAAATGTTGTCTGATTTAGGTTTTGGAAATTTATGGAACAATATTAATGTTACAAGCATCCAATTAAATAATATTATACAAAGAATTTATGATCAGCATTTACAACAATGGTGTTCTGAGCTTAGTAGTTTTCCTAAATTATGTAGTTACAATTTATTTAAATTTAACTTTATTCAAGAAAAGTACTTAGGTGTTGTAAATAACATTAATCTTCGTAAAGCATTATCAAGGCTTAGCTGTTCATCCCATAAATTGTAAATAGAATAAGGAAAATATAGAAATATTGATAGCAATTTACGTATATGCACTAAATGCAATGTGAATCAAATAGAAAACGAATATCATTCTATAGTGAATTGACAGGTCAATGTTTTCCTCGGTATTATTGTCATTGGCCAACCATTAATAAATTTATATCAATTATGCAATCTTCGAAAAAGAAAATAATTGTTAATTTAGTTTATCTATTGTGCTATGTATAAGAGAACATCAAACAGTTGATTTTATGAATGTAGGTATTTGTTTCTATATTAATATATTCTTTATTTTCTTCTGTGACTCATATTGCCATTTTCATATTTTATAGTAGTTATGTTAACTGTTTACAATACTTTTCTTATGTTATGTAAATATGATATAACCGCCACGAACATGTTTTTGTTTTCGCCAATAAAATATTTGACTTGACTTGAATATTATTGACAACCCGATTAAAGTTCGGCAGTTTTCCTATAATACCTCTACGGAAACTTTCCGTTAAATCAGGGTTCAACTTAACATGGGTTCTCTTAATATGCATATCGTCAATTAAATCTATTGCTCTTTTACATAAAATGTTAAATGATAACTTGGCATGATCTGACCATTCACAAAAAGGGTGGCCTTTAAAAGCGTTTACACAATACATGTCACTATTATACAATAACACTTGAACCTGTATGACAAGTAAATGTAAACTCATTACTATTATATAATCCACCGTTAGTAATCCGCAAGTACGTAGATTTACATAGCTCAATTAATTTTAAACCAAACATATTACAAACGTTATCAAATGAGTCACGTGACAATGGAACATCAGGTAAATTGTTGTCATCGTCAATGAAATCAATGTTACGATCACATACAATATAATTCGCACGAGCGCCCGTGCGTGAGTTTAAGTCACCAATCATAAACACTTTGTCCTGTGAGTGAAAATCATTAATATCAGTTTGCAATAATGTGAAAAAGTCGTCATCTGATGGGCGAATTTTCTGGCCATATATATATACCAGAAACAAAAATGTCACTGTCCAGCTGAAATAACGAATAATCCAATTTGAGCCATATAATACTGTCAAAATGATTTCTCACGATCGACACGCCATTTTCTATTGTATTTCTAATATAGAGTGCAATACCCCGCTGCATCGTCTGGCCCGCCTGTTCTGATATTAACGAAGTATAGCCATCAATGTCAAATTTGGAAGAGCTATCAGCCCAGGTTTCATATAGGAAAAAATGTCATGTTCACACAAGCAGCTTATAAAATTGGTATCTTCAAGTTTACTTTTGGTTAACTTAAACCGTGCACGTTCCATGAAGCAATTTTAAGTTCACTTCAGCCTCCGCGCAGTACTATTGGTTTCCATCACGCACGCGGTGGCCGTTTATGTATAACGTGTCGTAGCTAAGACAAGAACGTTTGCCGTCACGTAACGCCTGATTTAATTTTGGAAGATGAGATCTACGTCGATCAGCAATTTCCTCGGGAAATTGTTCAAAAACAAAACGCAGTAGCCAATATTAATAGGAGAAGATAATTCATTTAACGCAGTCAGGTGTCACAACAGTGGTCCGGAAAAATCCCGGTATCCGCAATGCCCGGGATCGTTTATCAATTTTCGTCATTAAGTAGGCTCCAATCACATTTCAAGCTAAAGGTTAAATCGATATTGGTCATTATATATATATATTAACTAATTAATCAATTATATTTATAGTGCCATGAATAACTACAAATATAAAAACAAAAGCAGTTATTCGTATCCCTATATGTTTGATAAAATCCCGGATTCCTTGCGTTCCGGAACACAGGTTGCGATATTGTCCTGTGCGACCACGTGATACTAGAAAAAACCCGGATGAAAGAATTCCGTGGTATAATAAAAGAAGGTATTTCCCGTTGGTGGAAAAGCAAACTGTTTGTTTTCAGAGCAATAATGATAAAATATGAACATTCTGAAGTGTCATTTCGATTTCTTTCAACTATATAATGTTTTTGAAGGAGAATTTTGAAATATTAGCAAGACGGCAGTTTTTCTGCAATCTTCTGGAGGTCAGCTGCTTTAACGCTGTACAGACGTTTAAAGAGTTGTTAATGTGACGTCACAATGTAGCGCCAAATATCGCGTGCAAATGAAGAGGCATCTATAAGTAATATTTTTCTGCGCGCTGTACAACTGCAGGTGCGATGCAAGCAATAAAAGGTTATTGTTTAGTTTTTCGTGAAATATGGTAATCTATATAATTATATTCACTCAACATGATAAAATGCCGTCCCGGCTCGTGAAAATATGTGGCATTTTATCATGTTTCGTGAAAATATATTCCATATTTCACTCAAACGAAAACATATCCTCTTATTATATGTAAAACAAATTAATTTTCTTTTTATTTATGCTTTTTAAGTGCTTTAAGATATTGTTTTACTGATTTTGCCGCGTAATGCGTGTATTTTGCTTAATGACGTCATCACATCATGACGTCACATCATCAATTTTGAAATAGAGTTCTGTTAAACTTTCTCTTATTTTGTTACATATTTAACATGATGTATGATGACATCCACTTTCTTTTCCAAAATTTATGTATGACGGCATTTATTTTTACCAATTAGTTATAATATTCTTTTCATCCACATTCAGATATAGTCCGGCTACAGTGAAAAATATATCTTATTATTTCACTAGTGCTTTATCAGAATATATTCATCTGATTTATTACAGTAAAACACTTGAAAGCATGAAATAAAGATAATTAATCATATTCACCAATAATTTAACTTTAAACTTACTATTGATCTAATTTGGTGATAAAAGAGTCAAGATATGTCTGTGAACAAGACGAAAACTGCCAGTATTTCTTGTTCGTGGATGAATCCTTGGTTATTTGAAAATATTGTGCCATGACATTTCCATTTGGACAGCTATTTGTATCACCATCATGTTCCATTCCGAGACTTAAACCGAAACGAAACGATTAATGAGAAAAATATTAAACAATGAAATAAAGTATGTAGCTGACCACTCTATGAAGTTCAACAATGTTATGTTGCATGGATGATAACAAGATTCAAACGATTCTACTATTTATTATAACCAGTTTCATAGTTAACATTTTTTTTTTAATTTTCGAGTAATAAACAATTGGAAAACGACCAGATAATATAAATCTTACACCGGCTACAAGTACAGACAGGAATATCTAGCTCTAGGGTGACTGTTTACGGCGGTAACGAGGCTCGGCCGAGTTTCTGTTAAACAGTTACCCGAGAGCTAGATATTCCCGTATGTACCGACAGCCGGTGTTTGATTCTTTTTCTTGCATATTACATATCAAATACTTTCAGAACAGAAATTACGAAAACTGATTTTCTCATTACGTCCCTTTTTTCTTATAGTAGCGTATGAACTTACAACTTCGCAAATCATTCAACAAGGCACGCGAATATACCGTCATTTAAAGCTTGTGACTTATCTTAAATGGGGTGAAAGACAGGATTTTCTAGCACCGGTTTAAACAGTAGATAATCCAGTCTGATATGCAAGAAAAAGCTGAGTTACATTTAGTGCGGTTCTTAAAGACACTGTATCACTTGACTCCGACGAAATCCTTTAACTTATCACTTTCTACAAAATGCTAACAGAAAAAACAACAACAAGTGACAGTGTAATTGACTTACTTATGTCCAAGCTCATGTGCGACAATTATTGCCATCGTCGGTTTGAATGCTGTCACTTCATTGACAGAATATCCATATGGTCCACAAACTCCGGAAGAAATACGCAACGCACCTTAAAGTACGAATCATAACTTTTTATAAGAAAATTCATTCAAAAAAGAATAAGCAGATGTATTGATTTATGAAATAGAAAACTTAAAAACCTTACAGAACACTCAACATGCCCAATTTGAAAAAAGTTGCAGGCTCGGATTCACAATTGGTAAGCCTGTTCACGAACAGAAATAGTAAATGCATGCTACCCCCCCCCCCGACTCCTCCAAGCACCGGTGTTACCAGTTCCGAACATTGAAAACTGAAACAATCTGATTCATAATTTGCTTATATTAATGTAAACAGGACTTGAGTATTTTGAAATATAGTTATATAACAGTCTCACAGTTGTGTTGAGAAACACAAAAATGATAAGATTTAATTGAAACAAATCAATATTTTAGTATGTATTAGTGTGCTTACCTAATAGACGATTAGTAAATTTACCATCTTGTATAAATCCGATATCTTTCCTTAAAATAAATATAAAGAAAACAAAATATCAATAAAAATTAAGAGACTATGAACTAGAATCTGTTTACTTCTTATCGAATTAGGGTTAACCAGCACAAACATAACCGCATTTGTCATTTCAGACAACACACATTCTAATTATATGGCGATTTTTTACTTGAAATAATCAAAATTTAGGGAAACGATGCATTTAAATTTTTTGTAAGTCCATAAGTTTAACTTTCGGTGGTGTACTTACTAACAAAAACCGCTTCTAGTAAATATATATTATCATATTTAATTTAGATCTAAAATTGTGACCACATGATGATTTTTCTCCTGAAAACCCAATTTTTCATTCAATGGTTTACAGTATAAGACATAGACCTTCATTTGCATTTGATAATATTTATTTAACAGTAATGAATTATTTGATAAACAAATACTATTGTAAATAATGTCGCTTAATTGACATATTTTAGGATTAATCTTTGCGTTATTGATGAAGTATATAGAAACAGAATCTATAAAGAACGTCTTAAACGGCAAAATTGAAAATCATGCAAGCGAGGTTTTATTGAGCCTATTCATGGGGCGGTACTATAAAGTGCAAGCTACCGAGTACATTACTTGCACCAATATTAAGTATAATTCGACATTTAACATTGAATTCGAAAAGATTTGTTCAAAATGTTTGATTTTTTTTTCAAAAATACTACAAGATACTGAGTGAGCATGTACAAGTCATACGTGAATTCAAATTCTAACATTATCGGAAATTTTTCTATATAGACAAAGAAGGCCCGAAGCGTGCATTATTCTGCAACAATGCACTCGCCGTTCTTATTATCTCCCTGTGTATTTTCAAATTGAGGGCGCCATTTTGTTTGAAAAATCTGATAAATAAAAACAATTTTTTGTCGAATTTTGTTGTGAAAACTATTTGGAATGATAGAAAATGATCTAACTAAGAAAATAAATCCCAACATCAATATCTTTAATTCAGTCGTTAACGCTGTACAGACGTTTAAAGTGTTGTTTACGTGACGTCACAATGTAGCGCCAAACAGCACGTGCAAAACAATCAAAATCAAGTACGCTATTTTAACGTCGCAGACGAGTTAAGTTTTACATTTATTTCACTTTTAATAATTTGTATTTCGCTTGGAAAATTATAGACTGAAATAAAATAAACAAACAAAGTTTTATTAACGTTCAAAATTCGTTATTCTCAAAATGTTTCTACACACGGTAGATTTAACGACAGTTTTTTTTTTCAACCAACTGGAACGGCCTTTAAAGAACGCTATTGGAAACTCTGAGGCGAAAACATATTTAACCGCCAAACATAAAGTCCAAATTTATAATAATAATTATACTTTTTCTTGACGTGTTAGAATTGAAATAGATATTAATTCTTCGTGCATTATTGTATAATAATGCACGTTTTTCGTTCAAATGCTTTGTAATTAATCACTCAGGCCTATCGGCCTTCGTGATTATATTACTACGCATTTGAACTCAAACCGTGCATTATTCTACAACAATGCACTCAGAATTGATATCTATTTCCTAAGCAACCCTTCTACATTACCAACACACTTCTTCAACAAGGCTCCTTCTATCAGTAATTGCGTTTTTTTTTGTCATTTTTTTTTTATTATTTTATCAAAATTTTGAATGAAAATTAAGGTCGATTTAGAAAATAGTATTTTTTATTATATACTTATAGAAATATATGAAATATTGAGAATTCTAACACGACCCGTATTTTTCCCTATTGAACATAGAAGAACCGAAAGTGTGTGTTATTATGCAATAAAATCACTGTTGATAATATGTACGGAAACAAAGCAGACGAGCGTTTCTCTAACATTACGTAAGTTTAACGTATCTTTTATCGTAAATTTGGACTTACGCAAAACGTAAATTTACGTTAGTTGCGTTTCACTAAACAGAACGTGCAACTTACGCCAACAGTAAGTGAGCGTTACTTTACGTTTAAACCTACACAAAAGCATATATAAATATAGCTAAGAAAGTTTAGTTAAGCGAAAATATAACGTAAGTTCTGCTTACGCAAACAGTTACGTTCAAACTTGATTTCTGATAACGAAAGTGCGTTAGTGAAACGCAACTCAGGTGCAATTTAGCTTTAAATATCACGTACGGCAGCATTTTATTTGCTACGCCCTCGTGATATAATTCATTGCATCCGAACTTCAAACAGTGATGTTATTGAGCGATAAATTCACTGTTTGGGATATATTATTTCTTAAATATAAGAGGAAAAAGAAGAAACCTTTCCATACCCTGTAAGCAAAGCAGCATGGTCATAATTAAAATGACTTATTGAAGCCTTTCCCCATTGAATGAAATCACTTAGTATTAAGTTACCATTTGCTTCTCCTGCATCGTTGACGACACGATCTTCTACAAACTTGGAATCGCTTGGATCCTGCGGATATATGATACATTTAACGCATGATGCGAATATCAATTACATTATGAGACATGGTTTTTTACAAATAGTGTTTCGTTTGATACACGCAAATACAAGATACATTAGACAAATGATGTGTGGTAATAGTCATTACAATAAAAGACATGATTTTCTACAAATATTTAAGGTTTCGCTTGATAACCGCAGATGCATGATACATATAACACATGCTGTGTTGTAATATTCATAACAATATAAGACAAGATTTTCTACAAATGGTGCATCGCATGATACCTGCGGCTAATGATGCATGTGACACATGATTCCCGGGAATATGTATTACAATATAATACACAAGAAAAGCATTGATGCAAAGCATCAAAGGGCGTCCAAGCAAGTAGACATATTATGATGACAAGATATTCTTATAAACTTTTCAATGGTTACTTGGTTTTTACCAGAATGAACGGACGAAAGACATTGTTCATTATGAACTTTAATTGGCATGCTCGAGATTAGAATATTACTTGTTATTTCTTTATGATCGTAATTATTAATAGCAACGGATATACATGTATACAATCATTTATAATCCATATGTGTAACGCATGATCAACACCACACTTGTGGAATTGTCTCTTATTATGTTATCGCTATTAGCGAAGACCCCCTCTTAAGGTATCTGTTCACACTTAGTAAAAATATGACACTGGTTATATTACCATGTTGATCATGTTGCGCATGTTTAGAATACAATAATTGTAATATCTATTTTAATATAAAAAATACAGATTTTATGAATATTGTTTTCCTCTCTTTTTTCGTGTTTTATGTGCTATTTTAATACTGAGTTTTAACGTTTACTACTCTTTTTTTATTAAAATTGTAAAATAAATTTTAAGAATTCAATTGTCATATTGACAGACGATTATAAGTGAAAACTTAACTGGAAAAAGTCAGTAAAATATGCTTAATCTTTCAATATATAATATTGCTTATTCTTAAACCATGTACATGTACATTTGTATTTTTCTTTATCATTTTTTTTAAATTATCAATAAATTGAATAATTTATAAAATCTAATTTGCAACTTTGAATAATTCCTGGGCATCTTTACTAAACACGAATAACAAATTAAGTAAAATGTTTCAAAGTTGATAGTGTCATATTTATACCATAACAATGTACCTTTTTTCTCAATTATTGTACATATTTATTGTTTTTATCTCATATAGATAAAATGAAACATGCTATTGTTGTTGTTGTGGGTTTTTTTTCGAATTGTATGTTTATGTATAATAATAATCAATAAATTTAAGAGTTGATCTATGTTTATTAATTATTGTAACCAAACTAAGTGGCAAACATTCATTTTGGGAAAAAAGCTTATTTATCTGTAAAATATCTGTTCTGTTCTGTAACGATATCAAACATCTACTCCAAAACCGGGAGAGACCGGACAATAAACGTGTGATACTATTCGCCAGTCACTAGTAAATCCCGGTCAAAATAGACCGGGAGAGACCGGGAATTACCGATAGCAGTACATCCCTCTATAAATAGATTTTCGGAATGTTTAGGTCATCAACTCATCATTCTATTTTAACATACCATAATAACCCACTGTGTCCTACAAAATGATAAATAAAAAAAACCGAAGAGACGGAAAAGGTTATTTCATGCATTGCGAAATTATCCAGTTCGCTATTCATTGTACATATCGAGACATTTTTTTTAATCAAGCACCCTCATACCGATCGGAATGATCGGCTTTTATCATGACCGACTATAAGGCTCGAGAAGTTGCTGTCGCCCTTTCACAAAATCTGATTTCATTCCATAAGGGCGCCGCGCTTCGGCGCGGACGCCAATAATTTGCTATGAAAGGCACATCGCTTGATACATGCGGATATATGATACATATGACACATGATTCGTAGGAATATGCATACTATTACATTATGAGAAATGACTTTCTACAGAAGGAGCATCGCTTGATAATTGCAGATATATTATATCTCATACACAGGTTGTGCGGGAATATCCATTACAATTCCAAATAGGAAGTAGGCAGTAGAAGTAGCAGCAGTAGGAAACGTGAAGTTAGCAGTAGCAGTAGCACAGAAGTAGCAAAATTATAAAACGCGAAACTGGCAGTAGCGGTAGCACAGCAGTAGCAAAATCATAAAACGTGAAGTTGACAGTGTCAGTGGCACAGCAGTAGTAGTAGCAAAATTATAAAACGTGAAGTTGGCAGTAGCAGAAGCACAGCAGTAGCAAAATTATAAAACGTGAAGTTGGCAGTAGCAGTAGCACAGCAGTAGCAAAATTATAAAACGTGAAGTTGGCAGTAGCAGTGGCACAGCAGTAGCAGTAACAAAATTATAAAACGTAAAGTTGGCATGTGTAGTAGCAGCACAGCAGTAGCAGACTGATTCTGGAACACTCGCATAAATCAGGGTTTATTGTTGCCAATGTTTTATTGACATGTCCGACTTCTAGGCACGTCTGAGGCACTTGAAGACGTTCAGGTATTTTGGTGCCAATAAGAATAATGATTTTTTTACTTCTAGGGACATTAAAGTGACTTTTTCATTAACCTGCGACTTAAATGTTTTATACTCGCAGACTTTAAAGATTTTGGTACCAATGCAGATAATGTCTATTCAGCCTTCTAAGGACCTGTCAGATTCTGTGACACTCGCAGACTTTCAGTAATGTTGTATAGCCAATGGCGTTTATGACTTCTAGGAACACGTTGCATTTCTTTTGTCTGCAACCAATTCTCGGACACACTTTACGTTTTATAATTTTGCTACTGCTTCTGCCAACTTCCCGCTTTATAATTGTGCTAATCCTACTGCTGTACTACTGCTACTGCTGTGCTACTGTCTATTTCACGTTTTATAATTTTGCTACTGCTGTGCTACTGCTACTGCCAACTTCACGTTTTATAACTTTGCTAATGCAACTGTTGTGCTACTGCTACTGCTGCGCTACTGCTCTGCTACTGCCAATTTCACGTTTTATAAATTTGCTACTGCTACTGCCACTGCTAACTTCCTACCGGTAACTTATACATGAATTTAATCCAGGTTATCGTTACACAACAAATATCAGAAAGGGCAGGGCTATTTTACATGCATGTGTATATGTAATAACATTTGAAACATCCTTTTTTTAATATGTCACAAAAGGAATAATTAAGTTTATACAAATTTATTTTAGTTCGATTGTGTTGGAAGCTATAAGCTAATAGTAGCACTCTCGAATCCGTTCCTTAAACCAACCATTACTAAGCAATGAATGTACATAAAGTTTCTTGCTCAAGGAAACAACGGCTTGCCCCTGACAGGGTTAGAACCAAAACGGTCAGCAAATTCTAAGACTAGTCCGGCGCGTTAACCACTCGGCCACGCTGCCACACAAAAGGGATGAATTGCAAATGCGTCTGAAAATATATTAATTTGAAAATTTGTGTTGGCTTAGGATTTTATGGTTAATTTCGTCTAAGTAGAGAACAATAAAGATTATTGGTCACTTAGGCAATTTAATATCATATCGTACAAGTCTTACTAGTTTCTTTTTTGTAAGGGCTGCTTCAATTTGTAGATTGTCGTCATTTATTAAACCTTGTAAAAAACAAGAAGAGTTAATCGGTTCGTTCCCTATGAACACTTACATCAGCTATGTAAATTCCAGCAAAAAGACAGGATATTGTATACGAGTAGTCTTTCATACTTTGATATCGTACATCAATCTGAAAAATGTAATATATTGCTAATTCTAACACGACCCGCATTGTTCCCTATTGAATATAAAAGAACCAAAAGTGTATGTTATTTAAGAATTAATATCGGTCTTAGCGGTGTTTATCATGCGTAGGAATTGACCATGAAAGACGTAGGCCTGAGTGGTTAATTTTTTCGCACCAAAACGACAAAACCGGTGTTAAATAGCCGATAAACAACGCTCAGACAGATATTATTTCGATTCTAACAAGAGAAATTAGGGAGGATCACTAATGTTATTTTTTTCAAGCGGAGATTACTTCCGGTGCTGATTTTCTTATAACGCTGTTCGATTTCGCATCCTTCTGTTGTTAAAATATAGAAAATATAAAACAAAAAATAATTTTAAAAAAATTAATCAAGTTTTCAACAATAAAAACTTACGTCTCAGACTGGATTGTATTGTGTTTGCATCAGTGTTTGATTAATCGTTCTTGTATGTTTGAAATGATGTCATTCTGCGTTCATGAATGAGTTGTGTACTTAGTCATTACGCTGCTTACGGGTGTCAAAATATTTATTAACTGATATGGATCAAATCTGTGGCTTTATACGTGAGATATTATTTTAGTATTGTATGAAAAAGAAAACATTATAAGAACTGAAAATATTAGTTACAATGTTTTTTTATTGTTGCTTTAAAGGCTTTGTAAACTATATAATCGAGGGAGAAAACATAAGAGGCTCATATACAAGTAGTCCATAACTAGTGTTTATTCGCAGTACACCGGTTTTTTCTTCTTTGTCTATAGTGAGTCTGACAAAATCATCAGGAATGTTAGAATATGCAATAAAATCAGTGTTGACGTTCTATATTTAGACATGCGACGTTATCATTATGCATGTGACTTAACCACTAAAAATGTGACGCATTGAAAATAAGTACGGAAACAATTCAAGCGCAATTTAGCTTAATATTAGGTACGGCAGTATTTATTTGTTGATGTCGTGTTAGAATCGAAATAATATATTCAAATAGGTGACTTTATCGTTTGATAACATCATTGTTTGTCGTTTGGATGCGTATCATTATATCACTCGGGCTTCGCCCTCGTAGTATAATTCCTCGAATCCAAACTCCAAACAGTGATTTTATTCAACGATTAGATCACTGTTTTGAATATATTATTTCTTTAATATAGCACATGTTAAAATTCCCTGTTAAGGTACTTGATTAATGTGCCATTTAAATGAGTGAAATTTGCTAAATTTAAGGTGGTTCCGTCTCCGAATATAAAACATGACAATATAGAGACACCAAATATACCATTCAATGTAGCTATAATAAGAAGTGTATGAATAAATGTATGTCGTTTGTTATTAATGAAACAGAGATGGCTTGCTAAAGCTTTAAACCGCTATGCTGCATGCTAATTATAAGGATTATTTTGAAAGTATCTTTGAAAGTGAAATATTATGAAGTGAACAAAGAAAATCTACTCATTGCAAACGGCACTAACAGTACACGTAAATGACCAAAAATAAGTCAAAATATGCACAATTTGTCCTTAATGAATAAGTCACGCAGAAAAAATAATTTTGATCAGTTATTAACCGCACTTTACTTTAAAATATTACTTTAATATTGATTATTTTACTTTTCTTAATATCTATGAACATTTTTCTTCATATTATATTTAATTTTCTTGACATTTTTGGCTCATCTGCAGCTTTAAACATCAAGTGTGGGAGTTGATCTGAACATAAAATAGACAGGAGCACCAAGATGTTGCCTTAAAATGAATAATAGTCATTGACAGAGATTTAAGTTATTCGGACTACCTTTTCTTAATTAAAATATTTTGATAACAAATTATTACATGTTTTGGGGTGGTTTATACAAATGTATCAGTGAAATATAAAAATTATATTTCACTTTTTGAAACAGTAAAATAGGCAATTTGATATTTTCTCTGTTTTCGATTTATGTCTGTTGTTTCAGTGAAATACCAGTGTGCATAGTTCTGGAAATCAACTTAATGACGTCTCGTTGTATTATTATTTGGCACAACTTCATTGAGTATAAGGTTAAAATGTCTCTTTAAACGTTTCTTTGCATATAATATAAAGAAAATGTGTTTATTTTAGTGTAAGATCAAAATATATCTCACTTCGTGAGCACAAAAAGTGTTCACTGTGCCACTCGTGAAATATTCCTTTTTGTACTTACTCGGTGAAATATATAGAGAATATTGAATGTGTATAAGTTCAATACTGAATTTATTGCACGAGTTGAATAAAACTATATTATTATGCGAGCCTCTGGCTCAACGTGTTCAATAAATTCAGCAATGAACTTGAACGCATCTAATTAAGAAATAATTGTCAAAGAATTGCCACAGACGATGCAATAAGGATAAAAGTAATTTTCCAAGAGATAAATAAGACATATGGAAATCAGATATTACCTCGTTTAACAAAAAAGAGGTGTATTGTAACAGTTTATTAACTGTGGCAGTGTGTCTGTCGTTTTCTCCTTCAGTCAAAGCATATGTCCTGAAAACAGAGAGAAAACAGTTCTATATCCCGCGCGTTTCTTTATTTGTTAACCAAGGTTTCAATTTAAAAGGAAATTTTAATCTTATTCGGACGAGAAATGGCAAATGATTAAGAATAATTGGTTAAAAAAATATTCTTATACAGGAAGTAGAACAAAACAACAAAGTTATTCTTTACTGAATGAAAATATTAGATAGATATAAATGAAATAGAACTATCAATTTGTGCTTGGAAGATAAAATGCATGTAGCAAAGACTAGTCACAAAGTTCAAATAAAGCAGTGTAACAACGCACTTTGGGGTCAAATGCACTTTGGGGTCCGACCCAAAAGTGCGTTAGGTACTTTGGGGTCCAGCCCTAACGTGCGTTACGCACTTTGGTGTCAAGTTTGAAACGACCGCACTTTGGGATCGATAATAAAAATACAATCAATAAGAATGAATTTTAGTGATATTTTATGTTCTAACACTATCGCATTTTTTCTATATAAACAAAGAAGGAAGCGTGCATTATTCTACAACAATGGACTCGCCGTTCTTATTACCTCCCTTTGTATTTTCAAACCGACACATTGACGGCACCATTTTGTTTGAAAAATCTGATAAATAAAAAAACATTTTTTTCGTTGTGAAAACTATCTAGAATGTAAGAAAATGGTCTTACTAAGAAAAAGAATCCAAACACGAATATCTTAAATTCAGTCGTTATTTTTATGACGTCAAAATGTAGCGCCAAACAGCACTAACATCAAGAACGCTATTTCAATGTCGCAAATTAACGAGTTTAATTTCAAATTTATTTCACTATTAATACTTTGGAGTTCGCTTGGAAATTATAGAGTGAAATAAAATAAACAAACAAAGTTTTATCAACGATTTCAAAATTTGTTATTCTCAAAATGTTTCTACACACGCTGGAAAAGCCTTTTAAAGAACGTTTCTATTGGAAACTGAGGCAAAAACAAATTTAACCAACAAACCTAAAGTCCAACTATATAATAATTATAATATTTTTCTTGACGTGTTAGAATGGAAATAGATATTGATTCTTTGTGCATTATAGTATATTCTAACACTCTTTGTGATTTTGTCACTATAGACAAAGAAGAATAAAACCGGTGCTAATCTGCCAATAAACACTGGTGACGGACTACTTGTATATTTAACACCGGTTCGGAGTGTTGATGCATAGGAATTGACCACGAAGGCTGTAGGCCTGAGTGGTTACTTTTTTCGCACCAAAACAAGAAAACCGGTGTAAAATAACCGATAAACACCGCTCAGACCGATATTATTTCGATTTTATCGAGATAATATAAAGAAGATCACTTATGTTATTTTTTTAAGCGGAGATTACGTCTGGCCCTTAACCAGTGTTTATTGGCAGCTTAACACCGGTTTTTCCTTCTTTGTCTATAGTGAAAAAATCACGAGGAGTGTTAGAATATTGTTTCAATTTATTATAATTATTTTTTATATTCAATTATTTGTCTCATAGGATATTGTTCTTAAAATAATAAATTATATTGATATGTATGATGTGTATTGTGTGTAATAATACATTAGATAACATATCAACATATCCATGAACTAGCGTTATGTGTCGATAATTGTAGAGATTACATGTCACACATATTCCCATCTAATTAAATCAAAATCCTCATATGATATGATCTGTTCAGGTCCCATTAAAATCTGGATTTAATCTATTTCTAGTGTTATTAAACGGAGTTAGCCTTTCTGAATTGATTAATTATAGTTTTTTCTATGTTGAATGTTGCAGAAAAGACTCGCATTGAAAGGAATTCAGGCTGTGTCAATCTGCCACCACTGGAAAAAATGAAACGGCTTCAAAGATGGATGCCATATTATAAGAACAAGAATTTGTAACAGAGTTACCAACGTCCCCCGCCTCGGGGAAGTTTTATATGAAGCGTAAAATTGTGCTATTTCAAACGATTGAGGTATGGAGTCCAAAATAATGATCAATGCTAGATCTGCAAATGCAACAATAATAATAATACATTTATTAAAGAAATAAAAATGAAACACGGAATTTAAAAATCTATCATGTTAATTTGTTTGTTTGTTTGGATTTTACGGCACGTCAACACATAAAGGCCATATCGTGCCGAATGCTATAATAGGCTTAAAATATTATGTAAAACTTTGTAAATGATAATAAAAAGAGCCAATCAGATCCTTGAATACAAGTTTATCTCTTTCAAATAATCGATGATGTTTTTTGATGGAATTGTATTAAAGAGTTCTTTGAGTGAGTTTACATTATAAAATCTGTTACGGGTCTGTGAAAAATCATGACATTTCAGAAGAAAATGCTTGACAGTAAAATTTTCATTACAACCTACACAGAAAGGGGCATTGTCATTCGTAACGAGATAAGAATTATTATATGACATATATCATGTTAAGCTTTGACCTCTGAGTGTGACCTTGCCCTTGGAGGTAGGGATGCAGGTGTTGTGCATGACATATCGTCTTATTATTGTAACTATTTGTGCCAATTATTTTCAAAATCCCTTGAGCTATGAAGAAGTTATAGATCGGACATAAAATATACCCTTTTACAGACTATGTTAATCTTTGACCTCTAAGTGTGACCTTGGAGGTAGGGACCCATGTTTTGCACCTGACATATCGTCTTATTATCGTGATTATTTGTGCAACGTATTTTTAAAATTCCTTGATCTATGAAAAAAGTCTGGACTGGACACAAAATATACACTATAACAGACTATGTAAATCTTTGACCTCTAAGTGTGACCTTGACCTTGGAGGTAGGGACACAGGTGTTACGCATGACGTCATATCTTATCACTGTGACTATTTGTGCCAAGTATATTCAAAATCCCTTAATCTATGAAGAAGTTATGTATGGGACACAAAATATACCATATAACAGACTCTGTTAACATTTGACCTCTAAGTGTGACCTTGACCTTGGAGGTAAGGGTGCAGGTGTTGTACCTGACATATCCTCTTATTATTATGACAATTTGTGTCAAGTTATTTCAAAATCCGGAAGACGTTCTAGATCGGACACAAAATAAACCCTAAAACAGACTATGCTAATTTTTGACCTCTAAAAGTGACCTTGAACTTGGAGGTAGGGATGCAGGTGTTAAGCCTGAAACGTCATCTTATTATAGTGACTATTTGTGGCAAGTATTTACAAAATCCTTTGATCTATGAAAAAGTTATGGACAGGACACAAAATATACCTTATAACAGACTATGTTAATCTTTGACCTCCAAGTGTGACCTTGACCTTAGAGTTAGGTGACCGATTATTGCGCATGACACGTCGTCTTATTATTGTGAACAATTATGCGAGTATTTACAAAATCCCTTCAAAGATAAGAAAGTTATGGACCGGACACGACATATACCCTCAAAAAGACAATGTTGACCTTGATAGAGCAAGTGCGACCTTGACCCTGGAGGTAGGGGTCTGGTTGTTGCGCACGAAACATCGTCTTATTATAACAAACATTTGTGCCAAGTTATTTCAGATTCCTTTGATAAATGACAAAGTTATGGTCCGGACACGAAAGTGTGACGGACGGATGGACAGACGTGCGCTCGTACACATTTTTCAGGTTTATGAGCTATTTCTTTTGCTCTTTTCTGACAGACGTGCGGACGGACAGACACACGGACGGAGCCTATTTCTATATCCCCCTTTTTCTTCGCAAAGGGCGGGGGACAATAAGTGTATAATTATTTAAATGAATTTCACGTCCAATTATGGCAGGAATTATTTTATATCACGCATGTTTTGTATTTTTTTTGAAAAAGACACCTCTTCTCATTTCAAAAATGGCAGAGATTTGGTGGTACATCAAACAGATACGTTTTTCAAATCCCGAAGTATTAAGAGATGAATACACGGCAGAGTAGAGCCGGAAGGCTTCAGCTCGAGGGCATTATTCATTTCAGGGCAGATTATCACCTTCTGCCACAACTATGACGTGTATTGATGTCTTTAATACACTTGGTAGATCTATAAGTAGCACTTCTAAAAAAATACTTTGATATTTCTTTTGTTGAAATTCCTGTCTGTATTTCTATTGTACACAGCACTGTAACTTTTTACAGAGTTGTTTACTTTTTGTGTGTACAAAGTTCACTAAAATCTAGAAGCAAGTTTTATTTTAATTTTTTTCGGAACAAATTTGTCGTATCATTTCTTTAAATTCCAATAGTAAAAAAATGTGTTTGTACAAAATACACTTAAGCTCTCATAATAAAATCAAACGATTCGTGCTGAAAACCTACTTTAACTTTTACAGGTAACTGTTTGATGACGTAAGATATGACGTCATTGTTTCTGTTTGTGCACATGTTCAGCGGACTGATAATGAGTTCTAAGCCCGGGGCCGCCAACTCATAATCGGTCACGTGACAGTCATAATCAGTTGATATCATAGGCAATTTTGTTACTATATATAGTAACAAGTGTATTAATATTATAAGAATCTTACACCGGCTGCCGGAACAGACCGGAATATCTAGCTCGAGGGTAACTGTTTACAGCGGTAACGAGGCTCTGCCGAGTTTCCGCTAAACAGTTACCCGAGAGCTAGATATTCCCGTCTGTACCACAAGCCGGTGTTTGATTCTTTTTCTTGCATATTACATGTCATTATTTTTTGAACAGAAATAATGAAAACTGATATTCTCATTACGCCCTTTTTTCTTATAGTATCGTATGAACATACAACTTCATTCATAACGGAAAAATGATGTCATTCCTATGAACGCGATTCATTCATAAAAGGCGCGCGTCAATGACGTCATTTAAAGCACGCGACTTGTCTTACATGGGGGGATAAGACAGAGTTTTCTAGCACCGGTGTAAAAGGGAGATAATCCTGTCTGAGATGCAAGAAAAAAATCTTACACTGGCTGCCGGTACAGACCGGAAGATCTAGCTCGAGGGTAACTGTTTACGGCGGTAACGAGGCTCTGCCGAG